AGGGAGGAAGGGAGGAAGGGAGGGAGGAAGGGAGGAAGGGAGGAAGGGAGGGAGGAAGGGAGGAAGGGAGGAAGGGAGGAAGGGAGGAAGGAAGGAAGGAAGGAAGGAAATTCATTAACGCTCACCACCCCAAGGACAGGTAGAAAGTGGAGCATATACATGGAGCAGAAAGTCCAAAAGGCCCACATGAGAGAAACTGAAAGCTGGGGGCTCATGGGAGCCACAAAACATGTAAGATAAAAAGGTCTGTCTGGTGGGACAAAAGGTAGTTAAAGGAATCTCAGCAGAGCATCTTGGACGCCTCCCTGGCAGCTTTGTGAATGATTCTCAAGTGAACAGGCGTTCAGTGATGGCTGAACGTATTACCCACCATGGTCTGCAGGTGCCTAGAGGGTCCTGGTGCTGGCTACATCCCCCACCCTCACTCACTCAAGGCACACTGGCCCCCATCCGGCTCTCTTCACAGCATCCACATCTGCTCAATGGTCACCTTCCTGACCACTCCTCCAAAATTACAAAAGACAAGAAAGAAAAAAATTCTCAAATTACCCTGCTGGATTTCCTCTGTAACATTTATCACAACTAAGTCTGAAGGGTTTCCTTGTTCTCTTCTGGCCTCCCCTCATCCAGAGAAGTGTTTTCATAGATAAGCATGGGTTAAAAGGGGCACAAAATGTAAGGGGTTTCCCAAAAGTTCAGTGGGTAAGGTAAGGAATATCTCAATCAAAATCCAGGATGAGCAAACTATCAAAATTTTAAGGACACACAGGATTAGCAATGATGCCAGTAATTCTCCATCTTTACATCTTTGGTATTTTGCTCATCATGAATTCTGTTTTGCAATCATTTTTAAAATACTGCATTAAAATATTTTACTTAAATTCTGAGCCTTAGCCCAGCGCCTCACTTGTCTCACCCTATCCCAACCCTACTTGTCACACGTGTTCACTAGACCTTTCGCACCTACACTTAGTAGGCACTTAAACAAATAAAGGTCAAAAGGCAGCTGGGAACTCGAATAACATCAAAAACAGCATCTCAACTTTCACTCTGTCCAATTCTAAAGAAAACCACTACGATCGGAGCCTTAGCACACAAAAGTGGACTGTTTCAACCCAAGTCTTACAGACAGGCTAGGGTGGAACAAGGTACTAGTGATGCGCCACCTCCCGGATGGGCTAACTGGCGTCATCCTGCGGGTTCCCTTCTAGATCACCTTTCCCCACCACTGATCTGCTGACCCTTTGGGAGAGTGAGGGTCCTGCACTTAGTTATTTCCAAGGCAACTTTAGACTATGAGGTTCTTTTAACTTTGGTAACTTATTTCAATAGACACCAAAGTCATAAAAGGCAAATCAAGAATCTGAAGATGGAGGTATGGAATATAATAAGCGTTTTACATCCAGCACCAGCTACCGAAGTATTTTCTTTACGTAAATCATCAACAGTAGAATCAAAAGATAACAAACAAGGGCTATTATGTTACTTCTAACAAACTTTAATAAAAATGTCTAACAATAGCGATGCTGAGTAAATAAACCATGGAATATCCCTGTGTGTGAGTTCTACACAAGTATTAAAACAGAATATTCAAAACTTTTAATATCATGATAGCATATTCAAAAATGTAAGACTAATTGGGAAGGCAAATATAAACCATTATTTGCAATCTGATCCCAGCATTGTATGTGCATTGGTATATATGATGGTGGTGGCTGTGTGCCATCAGGTCAGTTCTGACTCATTGTTGTTGTTGTTGTTAGGTGCAATCGAGTCAGTACCGACTCATAGCGACCCTATGCACAACAGAAAGAAACAACCTCACTATTGGTGCCACACTTGAGTCCAGCGATGCTGCCACTTGGCCAAGCCATCTTGCTGGGGGTCTTCGTCTTTTTCTCTAACCCTCCACGTTACCAAACATGAAGTCCTTCTCCAGTGACTAGCCCCTCCTCATAATATATCCCAAGCATGAGAGACGAAGTTTGGCCATCCTGGCCTCCAAGGAGCACTCTGGCTGCACTTCTTCCAACACAGACATGTTGGTTCTTTTGGCAGCCCATGGCACTTTCAATATTCTCCTCCAACACCATAACTCAAATGCATCAATTCTTTTATGGTCTTCCTTATTCACCGTCCATCTTTTGCATGCATATGAGGCTACTGTAGGGATTCCGAGGCTGTAAATATTTACAGGAGCAGACAGTCTAATCTTTCTCCTGGGAGGCAGCTAATAGATTTGAACAGCTGACTTTGAAGTTAATAGCCCAACTCATCATCCATTACACTCTCTCTATCCGAGCTCCTTCTGGTATATTTGAGGGGGGCAGCTTCAAAAAGTTCACGGAAAAATTCCATTATCTTTTCATTTTTCACAAACTTCCAAAAGCAGGAAAGAAAAGGTAAGCCTTTAGGGTCCCACCCTTGCACACTGTTTCCAGGGGCACAGAGAGGTGGGTTAACATTTACAACACTGCTGAGGAGGCGGCTCTACTTCCCTGGGAATAGGGAAATGAAGCACCTCACATGTGTGAACCCAACCAATCAGTTCTGCTTAGGTGACGTTTCCCCTATCCACCCCATCTCATACCCAGGATTTCCAGTAATTCCACACACCCTCTTTATTGCCTGCCACAAACAACAGTAGGCGGCAGGAAAGGTGCGGGGATAAAGTTACTAAATACCCCTGAGCAGTACTTTAGTACGTGGGGGGGGGGAGTAAACACCAAAATGTAAGGTTTTCCTGGAGAGCTCTCTGCACCCCATTACCCACCCCAGCAGAAGGGTTAGGGGCAGAACTCACACTTCCTGAAGATTCAGCAAGTCCATGAAATCAGCAGGGTCAATCTCAGAAAACTTGTTGTGACTCAGGTTTCTGATAAAATGAGAGGAAAAAGCAAAGGAATCAACACGCAGCATTTAAACCAAGTTTCAAGGAACCTGCGCATCCCACCCATGCCTCCTGGTACCACCACCACCAAAGGAGCGTCGTCTCCCTCAGGACTGTCCCTGCCTCCATGTCATTATTGATACTGAAATTTACAGATGTACCTCCTGCCTCCTTACATCCCTAAAACTAGTCACTCAAAACAACTCTGTGAATATCTCAAATCACCAGAGCTTGGCTAAACCAAAGCAGATTCCAATGGATCCCATTTCACCACTTAGGACTTTTTAAGAAATCCTAAGGTGAGCCAGTGCACTATCCACATTACAGTATCCTGGGCTGAACACTTGCACCAGGTATCAAGTCCAAGGCTATCCTTAATGGTATTTTTTTTTAATTAATGTTTTACTACAACATCAAATAACATCAAGCAGTGGCAAAGGAAAAGAGAAAGCAGGAGGAATTAACCCTTTACTGTCTAAACCAAGGATGACTCTGCTCCCCAGGGGACATTCAAAAATGTCTCAGGACAACTTCTGGCAGGGATGAAGGCAGGATGTGTTCACGGCAGCCAGTGGGCAGAGGTCAGGGATGCTGCTGAACAGCGCACAGGAAGCTGGACCCCACAACTAAGAATCATCCAGCCGGACTCAATGGAACTGAACAGATGTCAGGAGGAGTCCTGGTTTGGGGCTGTAGGATAAGCACTGGACCGTTCGGTCGAACTCAACTGCAAGGGCAGTATCTCAACCTCACCAACCACTCCTCTGAGTTGGAAATGACTTGACAGCACTTAACAACAACAAATGTCAGTAAGGGAATGTGGTGACGCCATACAATACACAATGGAATGTGTACCACAAGTCCGAGGTTCAAGCCCGCCACATGCTCCGCAGGACAAAGATGAGGCTTTTTGCTCCCCTGAAGATTTAAAGCTTCAGAAACCCCATTATGGTTAGAGTTAGGTGCCGTGGAGTCGGTCCGGACTCACAGCGACAATCTGGAGGGTTTCCGAGGCTGAAAATCTTTATGGGAACTGATGGAAGTCTCGAAGAGCTGACTGTGAGATTAGCAGCCCGACTTGGAACCACCACACTACCAGAGTGCTCTCTGACTCTGAAATGACTGGATGGCACTTAAAAAAACAACAATGACAACGAAATGCTAATAACCGCATGTAGACGCTGTCAAAATTCACATGACTGTTGTGTGCCTGGGTGATGGGACAGGTAAATTCCAACAACAGAAGAAAGATGAAGATAGTGGGAAACTCCAGGGAATATGCGTGAGTTAAATGGAACAAAGATGAATGCTGTTAACGGATGGTTCTTGGTGAGTGCCATCAAGTTGGTTCCGACCCAGAGAGACCCCGTATAGGATTAACAAGGAGTGGCTGGTGAACCTGAACCGCTGACCTTGTGGTTCAAACAGACTTTGCAGTCCAGCACTTAGCCCACAGCATCACACCCGGGCTCCGTTAACTGATGGTTGTTGTTGTTATGTGCCATGAAGTCGGTTCCGACTCATAGCGACCCTGCACAGGGTTTCCAAGGCTGTAAATCTTTACAGGAGCAGAGGAGCAGAAAGCCTCATCTTTCTCCCGTGGAACAGCTGGTACTTTCAAACTGCTGGCTATGCAGTTTACAGCCCGTTTGTAACCACTACGCTGCCAGGGCACATGGAGGCAACTGCAATTCGTTGTAAAGAAAATATTTGGTTTGTTTATGATCTACTCAGTAAACCTCACCCAGTACACAATAAAAAGCTTTAAAAAAAAACCTCACATTCATATGATTGTTAAGAATGTGAACACTAGGAGATCCTGAACTTTAAGTACACTTACGAACCTGAAATTCCTACCATCAATGAGGAAATCTGGGAAAATCACGCAAAAGAGCCAAGCCACAGTCACTGGAAATTCACGCTGCTCTGCAGCCTTCTAAGGGAATAGCATCTGTCTACGGGGGAGCAACAATCACATTGTCTCTCCCCTTCCTCACCCAGTCACACAGTCAGAGGCAGACTAGAGCAAACAGAGCAATTCTGCACAGCTGAGCTTCTCTGGGCACATTCTCAACCCAGACCACCTCATCGCCTCAGGAACAGAAACCACAAAGGCTCGATCCAAACTGGCCCAAACTTATTCCAACACAGCACTTTCCTTCACATCCCCAAAGTACACCCTGTTAAAGAGGCTAGCCTTTTTCATCTCAACTATTAATTCCCTTGTACATTACTTTCAATTAACAGTATTGCTAATCAAGGGTTTAAAGTCTGTCTCTAAAAGGGCACAGTGTCATGTAAGTGGCAACTGTCTTTTAAGTTTCTCCAGAGACCTTTAAATCAATACTAGCCTGAGCTGATACCCATTTCACTGGGAACTCAAAAGACATTCATCAAAATAAAAGTTCAACAGCACTTGAAACTAATGGTACTTCTGTGTTCGTGGCACAGCCTGAATTAAAAGCAATTTGTCTAGCGATTATATTACTATAAAGATTGAAGGTGGTAATTTTTTTAATCACATATTGAAGTCAAGTGTGAACGTGCCTGTGTGCTTGGGGGTGTTTATTAATGAGTGCACAGAAATCAACAGGCTAGGCCCAGGAAAGACAATGCACATACTGCGAGACAGACAAATTGTCTTCCTCCTCTATTTTTATACATTATCATACATTTAAAGAGGAGGGGGAAGTACTGAAGACACTGTGAAGTTCCAAGGACAGCCAAGGATCATATTATCACAGGGAATGGAAGCTGGTAAGCTGGAACAAACCACAAAGCAAGAGCCCACAGGGGCCAGCACATAATACAAATGGTGACCATGCCAGGTATGAAAGGACAGCAAGCAGCGTTCCCCACCTCCCCCTGCCCATCCTAAGGGGCTTGGACCAGCATGCGCCAATCTTCTCCTTTTTCATGTGAAGCTCACCATCTGGATTCTTACGTAAAATATTTTCAAGGAGAAAAAGAAGTAACCCTGAATGGGCTACACAAAACTTATCTGCAGGCCCCAACTGTCCTGAAGACAGCCAGTTTCCAACCTCTGATCTAAGCTACTCTAGAGGTGATTACGGTTCAAAGGAGCCACCGGCACTGGGTACTCAGTGGAATCTCAGCAAAGACCTCACACTGCATTTTGGCCTACCTGGAACTAAATCACTTCCCTCATCTCCCACTTCACCAATGTCCATATTGCTCAACAACTGACCACAAAGACTGACCACAAGGGTGGCATGATTTGAAATGATTAGAACAAAATCACTTTAACTCATGACACTCTTTAGTTTGTCTTTCCCAACAACATCAGACCAAACATATTTCCATTTCAAAAATAGGTAAGTCTGAGGAAAAGTCCATGGCGGTACAAACAGTTACTGTGCTCAGCTCCTGGCCCAAAAGGTGGAGGCTGACCTCCACCAGAGGTGCTTCGGAAGAAAGGCCTGGTGGTGACCTACTTCCAAAAAAAAAAAATCCACCACTGAAAACCTGGGAGCACTGGGAGCACAGTCGGTCCTGCTCTGACACACAAGGGGTTGCCATGAGCTAAAGTCAACTGGACACAAATGGTACTTGAGAAAGGGTCTTCCATAAAAGTAGTATGAGAGTCCAAAAAACATCACACAAAATAACTACTGAACGGAAATTTAACTTTCCACCTAATCAGTATGAATACAGCGATGGCTTTTACTTTCAACCAAAACAGCAATGTACAAGCAAGTGAAGATCAGCCGATGGTCTATAAAGTCTAAGTTCCCCTTCAGAGTATGTGTTAGTACAAAGAGAAGACATGGCAGGAATGAAGCTCAGATCCCTTGAAACAATACTGAATTTTTAGACACAGAGCTGCTCTAACTTTTAAGTTATGAGAAATAAATAATTCCTGGGACCTGGGACAAGCTATTGATCCTCAATGGCTTTTATCAAGAAAAGGGGGAAATATTTACTGTATCTATTTATGTTGGTGTTGTTCTGACTCAAAGCAATCCTCTACAGGAACACCTAGGAGTGCCTGGTGAGCAGCTGATGGGCTTGCACAGCCAACCATGTAGTTAGCAGTCCAGCGCTTATCCTAGAGCACCATACCAGGACCCCTATTATCATATATCAGAAATTTATATTGATAATACACCTATGTTAAGTGATGTCCAGTCAGTTTCAGGCTCCAAGCTTCTGGTTAGCAGTCCAGTGGTTCTCCTATAGCACGGCACCAGGACTCCTGTATACAGGAAATCTGTTGACTACATGCTGACTGACTAAGGGGCTCTAGTGGCATAATGAGTTATGTCTTGGACTGCTAGTCACAAAGTCAGCTCCACACGAGAAAGATGAGGCTTTCTGCTCTGGTCAAGATATACAGCTTTGGAAGCCCTATACAGAGCCACTGACTCGGAACCAACTCCGTGGCACAAAACCACCACATGTTGACTAATAACCCAAAATAAAATCCTCAGAGATACTTTCTTGTTTGCCCATTTCAGAAAAACAAACTCCCAGCATAATCTTTAAACCAAGTGTTCTCACCCCTTGTCTGTTATGCCTATTGACAATACTCATTTCTCAAAGATGAAGTTCGTTCCAACAGGTCTCTGAAGAGAATCATGTGAATTCTTACCCCCGATTCCAAGAATCACCAAAGGGTTAATCAGTTGAAAAGCCTTAATGAGCCCTTTCTTTTCAGATGGCAGCTGACATGCACACTGATCTAAAGCATCTCACTTTTTCCTACAAACATGACCGCCCCTCACCAGGCTCAACATCTGAACTTCTCTTCAGTTGCAGGTTTCAGATTCTGCTGTCAAAACAATTTATCTGTCAGCAGGGCAGATGCTGTCAGAAGCATTTCTGCACCTTTCAGTAGCAAAGAGGGGAGGAAAGAAACCTCAGGGAATTTAGTTACTGCCAATTGCAGCTTTCATTAAACATTTTGTCAGCCATTGTCATAACACAAATTTTCCCTGTTCTTGCACAAAGGGAGAGCAGATCAT